TCATTGGTTAAAGAATCAGTGACAATGGAATCGTAGACTCGCCCTTTTCTTTTCGTCACTGGTAGGGAGCGAAGGGCATAGATACACCTTCCACGCGTATCTCGGCAATACTCTTCTCCTACAAGACAGATTGATTTTGCAATCAACGCGAGCAGTTGGAGAAAGGTGAAGAAGAAATTTGTGGGCTCCCTAAAGTTTCGGTATAATTTCTGTGGACCCGACGACACTCGGGTCCACAGAATTTATTCGTACGGCAGGTACTGCGGTAAGTCACCGAGTAAAGACTAAAATGTGAACAATCTTGCGCTAGTGCTCGGTCATAGACACATGCAACACTGGGCAGGGTCTCGTTCTCCCCCGAACAGTGGTTATCTGGAAAATTTGATAAAGTCAGTCCAACAGTCTAGCCGACCAGAAGACGAATCCATCTATTCACCATGTGCTTCTCACCGATCCTGTTGTTGGTTTTGGTTCCTTACACTCAGCGACCATCTTCCAACAGTAATCCACAACTGCGATCTCTATCAAAGGCGTATAATTATATGGTCATGCCAAACTTGATGCAAGTCACAGCAGAAGAAGGCTTCATGAGTACAAATGCATATGATCAGAGCTTCTGCGATACCAGCTCCAATCGGGCCTGTACATGCTGTGCAAAGGTCATGTGTGCACTGTCCTGGGATCTCAGCAACGAGATATATACAAGATTTACTTTAGCATGGAATATTTCACCGTTCCTTTGCATGAACTGTGCCTGAAATACGGAGTCTGAACGGAGGTATTGGTTGAGGCTTTAAGTAGAGTAAATACATATATTCATGTATACATACGCAGTCGATATGGACTTTCCTGATTCTGATTGTACAAGGGAATATGATGCTGACAATGATTTGGAAAAGGTTACGTTCCCATTTTTGGAACAAAACACAGAAATTTCAACTTCCTGACATGGCTTAGGTGAACCCAAAGCTCTTTCTTTGCATCATTGTACCTGGCTTTGCGGTAAACAACTTGATTCATGCTCGGTCCCAGTTTTCCTATTCGTCTTCTGAGGTTGTGTGACATGTGTCAATACTAAGACACAACCTTGACTTTTGGTCTATGATCTTTTGGAACCTTTCTAGATACCTTCTATAATGTAAAGGTCTTCCAGTAGAAGACAAGATCTTAGCTTGAAAAGCATTAACGTAAGAAAGTTTCCTGCCTCAACAGGCAGACTAAAAGGTATGGCATATGCGTTCCATGTCCCCTAGTGTTCAGTTAATGACAGTCGTTTGTTAAGGTCTTGCCTTCGCCAAGAATTTGTGACTTTTGTCGTCAACGCGGATCTTTGCTTCGATAAAATGTATCTGTCACGCATCTGAATTCAATTATAGAATCTGTCTACGTTCCTCGAAATGCACCCTGAATTATAGGAATCTTGCTTATTTCTCCTACAGTACTCATAACTCATTAATTCGCAGGTAGCGACTTAAGTAGCGGGGCACATGCATATCAAAAACGCTAATCAGAACCTTCAATGGGTCTAGGTTCCCTGTGAACTTTTCATTCCTAATTGAAAAAAGCAGTGCTGTATCCAGTGTCTGCTGGTGTACAGGCTAGTGCAGCCATTCAGTCAGTATGCCTATTCTTTTGTAGATTGACCCTTTTTCGCTGCTTAATCCACAAGTAACTACACATATGTCCTTATTAACTGTGGGTCATGCGATTTATATGACATTCTTCAATATACTTTCCAACGACACCATTTTCTGTATGTTCAAATCATGATAGATTTCACTTTAAGCACTGATATGGACATGTATGTTATAATTGAGGCGGAGGAATAAATGTGGTAACTGCATTCATCAGGTTGTGAAATGGTATAAGGATGCCATGTGTCATTCATTTGTGTAACTTATGTGTTATATTTAGAGTAAAATTTATTTTGAAAGAGAATAAATTTTTGAATCAACCACTCGTGATGATTGTATCGAATATACCACTTAATTTTAATTTGCTGCCTAGCAGAAATTGCTACTTAAATCGTAAGTACCTTGGAATGTATATAAGTAAGCATGGTGTTAGTGATATTAGCCTTTACATTCGCCAAATCACTAAATCTGATGTCAATCAACCTTCAACACTAAATATATTTTCTCTCATTTATATAATTCTCAAGGCTGTCATGTAGTTTTGTATCTTGCTAAATTTAAATATTGAGTTTAGTATTATTGCTCGCGGAAAACTATAGAGTCGTCGACGACTTGAAAAACGTTAATTCTTTGAATCAAAACTCTAGCGTTGAGAGTATAAAGATCCGTAAGCATTGATCTAGAATTTTTTCGGAGTGGATTGGACTCAACTTGTGTATGTGACAGTTTTGTTGCGGGTGGGTTACATTACGTGTTTTCCAGTGGAGAAAAACACGTAATTTCATTCGAAGTTGTGGTACATTTGAGTGTATATGCTCTTTCGTCTTATATGTGTATATGAGTAACATGTGAACGATATATATTCGCACGATAAAACTGAAAATTAAAATTGGTATAAAAATTTCATATCAAATTTAAAACTAACATTTTATAATAAAATGCTTGTTGGAAGATTAGACAAAAAATCATAACTAATCGAACAATAAAATTTCTAATTTTGAATTCGAAAGGTACTTTCTAGAGATAAAAGACTATTTAATCAGCATCTTCAAATCTCACGACACATCTTTTAGTAGCAATGAGGATCCGGATTTGGATTATTCTTTTGAAGATTGGATAACTTACATGCGATGTCATGTAGTTGAGAAGAATCTACCCTCGTTTGTACCAGCGCAATAAGAAATCAAGGAGGGTCAGTGCAGTAATGAAATAGCAGCGCTTGATGCATGGAAAGTAATAATGTCAACACTAAGATATCAATTAAAGGTGAGACTAAATTCGTCAACAACTGATCTTCATAATGTTTCTCAAATTTTAAACCGTAATTGCATGGAGAGAAGTGGACAAGAAGGGGAAGTTTAAAATCCAGAGTCGATTGGAAAGACTTGATAGAACGAGCAGTTCATGTAAGGTAAAGACCGCATTGACTATAAAAAAGTCAAATCAAAGGAAAAAAGTGTTGAAGGACAAAGATGATAATTACTGCAAGCATAATATTTATTTCGTGTTGACAATGTAAGGCATTGCTCCAGTGCAAAGGGCTGCACCTAGTGCAAGTTGATTTGGACACCTGTACTTTATAGGCTTTTAGACCTCAAAGACACCTAAACGAATTGATGATGATAACTGTAAAACTCGCGTGGGAGTGTTCATATATATGCTAGTAACAGTACAAAAGCTCCAAACAGTGATGCAAAAAGTGACGTGGATTTCAACAAACTACAATCTACAGGGAATTTCTTTTCTTCCGCGCATTGCGGTGATCTATCGAGGTGTAGCTTCGAGGATAAGGTGGAAACGCATCAAATGCACCTGGATGCTTTTGGGACAACACCAGAAGCGACAAACGAGATGCATGCGAGAACATCCAAATACGTGTACGACCCACTAAGAGTATGTGTTTTCCCGAGGCTTATCATCCCATTTCTTGTCAAAAGGAGCAACATGAGCATCTGTCGAGTGGTTATTGTTTGAACCTGTTTCAGAAGCTTTCATCAAACATCACCAGTTACACCCCCACGATATAACTCGTGTCATCAGTTCGTAGAACAAAATTGAAGCTTACTTCATATCTAATCTTGCCAGGTGCTGACTCTTACTCGTCGATGAGCAGCATCACACCACAATTCATTCATCTAACAGCAACTCGAGTGATCGGATATTTTGATGAAATGTCGATAGAAATAGCGGTTTGTGTTTTGCTTGTCACTGATCCTCTTGATGATGGGCTCCTTCCACCCAGCCTGCATCCTCCAGCTTTACTTTTTAACAAAGATGGTTGCCTTGTTCAGGCCGAATCTGATCAAGTTGGTGCAGAAGAAGGTTTCCTGGATAAGAAGGCTTATAATCTGAGCTTCTGTAATAGCAATCCCAATCTGTACTTGCTCTGCTGGAGCTGGAGCGCAATATCACCGTTTGGGAGTAGCAAATCCCGCACAGTGCTGTCGGTGTCCGTGATCAAGCATAAGAGCAATTTTCGAATCCTTGCACCCTGTACTTCGTAATTTACTTGGTACCTGGAAGTAGCTTGGAAGTAGTTTTCCCGCAGGTTATCGAAAAAGCTATGGTAAGGGACTTAATTTCGGAAAGTGAACGCGTTGCCCTACTTTCTCAAAGCTACGTAGCTAAAGTAGGTGATGGACTTTTGACTGTCTTGGACTAAATTGATGCCAATGTACACATGGATTATGAATCTAGATCTTTCTTCTTCGGTTCTACGTAATGAAAGGAGACGTTGAGGTTGTCATACTGGATATTGATTATTCTTTTATCGATTTTATCTACATTAATTATTGGATCAATAGCATTCTTTAAAAATATTTATTTTTAATTTTGTTATTGTCTTTTAAAAGGTTACATTTATTTACGCAACTGATCTACAATTCGTGCAAAAGACTATGAAAAATAGATAGCGCCAAGCTTTTTTTCTATATTTTCTGTTAGATTCAGCAAAACATATGATGTGGAAAGCACAAGATGGAAGTTAAGATTCTTTGGTCAACCAAGAGAAACAACTTCAACGACATATGATATTTTTTTTCAAGATTTAAATCCACAGTATTATTCATCAATGAATATTGATAGACTTGTTTATTTCTATACGCTGTTGGTTACAAAAACAATTACACTCCACATTTTATTTCTGAACTTAACCTGATCATATCAAGTATAACACAATATTGATATTAAAATAAATCTATCATATTTATATTTTCCAGAGGAAAGGTGTTTAAAGTATTCCCCCAAAAAAGTGAACTCTATATACTCATATTTTTATTTTATGAAAATATGAATGTAAATGCTGACTTTTGTAAATAAGGTGAGGTTTTAAGGTAAATGTCTTCTATCACGTCGAGTTGGTCTAAATTTGGATCATTATATGTTTGCAAGAGTCATATGTAACTCCATCACAAATTGAAATGTGAATTTTGTAATGTAATCATCTTTATTAACTTCATAAGTTAGTATCATAACTTTTATGATAAGTTTCATTTATAAATTGATATTGAATCTGATCTAGATGCTGTTTCAATGAACCTGACCGTAATATTGTAATTTCTTGAGCTGTCCCTGAAAGTCATAAAAAATGAAGGGATTGATGATGACTGGGAATTATTTTTCCTCAGTGAGTATCAAGTCACAATCCATGGACAGAAGTCCATCTAACGAAAGCACCGAAATCGTCGAGAAGGTACAGTGCAACAATTGCGCTAACAATGCACTACAATCGCCGAGGACTCTGTGGAAGAATTGAGTTATTATCGGGTTTGGACTGGCGTGGACTCGCGTGGGGCAAAATCACCTCTCGTCTGAGCTGATAGACGGTTCACAACAGAAATCAGGGAGGAAACAAAATTGATTCTGACGATGATTCCTTCGCTCGCCCTCCACTCACGGAAGTGAGTGAGCAGGAAGATTATTACAGTCACTGCGGTGCGCTCAGGTGCTTGAAAATTGACCTGGAATTGTTTAAATAAATGAGCTCTCGATCCGCTTGGCTCAGCGGGTAAGCGTCGATGGTGTCCGTGTAGAATTTGGATCCTGCGAAGGTCACGTAGGGCCAGTCCGTTCCGAATGTCATGCGGTCCGCAGTCGCGAATTCGAGAATCGTGGGCAGCGAGGACGGAGTGCTGGCAAGCGCCGTGTCATAGTAATATTTCTTGAATTCGTCGACCATCACGGTCTCGGAGTAGTACGGGGCGGTGAAGGCTGCTCTGTAAGCCAGGAAGGGCAAAGAGCCGCCGGCGTGCGAGAAGATGTACGTGATGTTGGGATACTTCTGCGTGGTGTTCGTGAATACAAGGTTGACAGCCGCGCGTGTGGTATCGAGAGTATAGTCCACCACTGCCGCCACAAGTCCTGGAACAGGACTCGCTGCAGATAGAACACAGCCCAGGGACATGGTCAGTTTGCTGCAAAGCATCTGCCTCCTGCACAAGCTCGAAGCTTCAAGACTGGAATTCGAGACCGGACGTACGCAAATGTCAACGAGTCCTGCAACATGCAACATGCACGTCTCTGCAAGACATCACATTCTAGTCACGATATCATTCGGGGGGAAGGCGGACATTACTGTTGGGCAAATTGTTGGGGTGGACGAAGACTACAGCGCTCATCTCGTTGAGAACCTCGAAGAAAGGATCGAGTGACGGATCGCCCAAGTAGACGCCTTTTTTGTTCCCTTCCAGAAACACGCCAGCTGCATTGAGCTCCTGCAAGGCATACCTGGCTTCTGCAATCGAGCCTTCGATGTCTGGCAGTGTCATTGTGGCCCAAAAGTTGAACTTTCCTGGATACTTTAGCACTAGTTCATTATAGGCGTAGTCGTTTAGTTTTCTGGCCATTTCGCGAGAAGCGTTCACCGAGGTGTTGGCCATTGGGCTTACTCCCGGAGTTGTGATCGAAACGATGGACATCATAGTCCCTATCGATGCCATTGCTTCTAAATGCATCGAAGCATTCCATGCAGGGATCCTACCCGCATCATAGCCTTGTTCGGCAAGCCAATCCAGGTAGAATGGAGGAAGTATATGATTGTGATTGTCGATCCTCTGCTGCTGCGACAGAGCCAGTTCTCCAACCTCCAGCAACAGCATCGAACACACCAGGAGCATGCGATGCCTGCGTGACCCAAACTCCATGTTCCTCTATTCTCCCAAGCTGCGGTTTTTTCTGAATTGCACAACTGTCTCTCCTTCGCCTAGTTTCACTTCTGCGCACGAACAGTCCGTATCAGATGTTCGATAATAGTTCGTCTGGCGGCCCTGCTCATTTATATATTCTTGCTCGTTATGGTCACGGACCCAAAGCATCCGCAACGAGGCTTTCGGCGCCGGTCAACCTACGAACCATCAATCGTAAGTTAAACGTCGAAAAATGCTTCATCGGGCTGCGTGTTAAGAGCGAGCATCTGCGCTTTAGATGCAGGTAAATTCATGGTTTGGGAAAACTAACACAAAAGATATGATAGATCAATCGCATTAAAATACCCTGTGAAGAAATCCCCAGCATAGAGATGGGCGATGAGCGATAAATCAGAGCGAAACTGCGATCAGATGAGCGATAAATCAGAGCGAAACTGCGATCAGATGAGCGATAAATCAGATCTGTATGTTCTTCGGTTCCCATTCTTTATGTTTCAACTTCATAATTTATGTCGATCGACAAGCATGTGATGGGGGCATATATCAACTTATGCATAAAAAAATTCAAGAATGGGAGGATGTGAAAGTTTCAAAGTCCGACTTCTTGCATCTATTTTCCTTCTGCGGTCATTTACGTTGCTTTACAGACAAGCAACGTAACAAAAAAGGAGGAGTCTTTTTCCCATCATATGAAACGGCATTTGTTAAAGCTAAGGAGACCCGGCCTTGGAGACCATCATGTGAAAAGCATGAAACAACTGGCCTCAAAGGCTGCTCCCCCAAACCTACTCTCTACAAGACAAAAACAAAGAGAGAAAAAGAAGACATGAAAGAGCAGCTATATGCAGGAGAAGACCAGAACAACGCACATGGGATGGCCATATATATCGAGAGATGTAACACTATTTAGGTAGCCTTGTGCATTCTTGAATCATATGGTTTATCTCCACATGTTTTAGTTGTGATTGACGTTTGTTGGTACGATGAAGTACTTTCTATAGGTGTGATTCTCATTTATGACATATTTGATGAGGGTCAAAAGTGATGGTTGTTATCATGACATATAGTGTATTTATGTCTTTCTTACAGGAGTAGGATTGAAGAGATAATGTATTCATGATGGTAAACATGTTTGCTCGCTACCCATGTTATTTAGATGAATTACAGCGTATTACCCCCTACCAATAATTTTTTCATACAGAATGGTCATAAATTCCTGAAAAACTGAAGTGATCATTACTACGATGTAGCGAAGACATAGGAAAAGGTGGTTCCCTTTGTAATATTTGTCAAATTTTATACGGATATATCCAAGGGTTTATGCTCTGTCAGTATACCAAAGTTCAGAAACTTAATTTAAACTCGTTTCTAGTTTCTGAAAAAATGCACAAACCACATTCATGTGTTCGTGATGTCAAGCTTCTTATTTCTCGTTGATTAGTATCAACTTCATTGGGTTAGGAGCTAAAAATATTGACGGGGGTTGGGGGGAGCATTTTCTATCGAAAAAACTGGAGATGATGATCTTGGTAGAATATACCAACTATTAGCTTCGATTGAGCAAGCGTGCATACTATCTTCTTAATCAAACCCTGTTTTGCGCCCAAATCAGCTGAATTGATATGATAATTGGCAGAATTCTCAATTCTTCACAATAAATCTTCGCCATTTCGGCAAGCTTTTATAGTGAAATCATCGAGCTGTGTTTGTTCCTTAGACTCATTGGGTCTATAGATGTTATCCAACCATGTTATATGAACTGTTCTCCGATACAGTTCTTTCTCATGGAATTGGTCAATGAGCACTTTTTACCTATAATTTCTTCTTTTGGTGTTTTTAACTGAGCTGCATGCGAAGCTCACACTTCGTGAATAATAACATGGATCTTGGCCGGCAAGCTTGACCATATCGTCGAACAGTTTGTACTGACACAGGAAGGATCCACTTGCACCGCTAGGGAGCACTTCGACATGCGAGGGTCGAGAAGATGATTTCGCGCTCGAATAGGCCGGCTGAATCTGGACGCGCACTTCATGAGGCCAGATGAAACTGGACGGGAATGACATCACAAGTGCGCTGCATTTTGGACACTCCTAGAAACACACAAAACCAAGGAGCGTTATTCTGATGGAAGACAAGGCCACGTAGACATCCACAAACTCAAGGCAGTATAATTGGATGCACAAACCCATCCTAGGAAGCTGTAGGATCACAGGGAGTAATCTATCTCATAAAGTGATCACTCTTGGCAATTTTTTTGGTTTCTTTGTAGTGGGGAGTTGAAGATGGCCCGATAAAGTGTCAACGATTTCGGAAAAGATATCGTGCATAAGGGCCATATTTCTGACAAGCCACGAGATGCAAATATCACAGACATAGAGTAGGCTGCTTTTCGAACCACATGACAAGATACGGGCTCTTTTGAACAATCTAAATTTGGTCTTCTATAAACCTGAAGAATGTCGAGGTCTTTCATGAGATGACTTCTGTGCGCGATATTCGAAACATACTTTTCTGCCTTTCTTCCCGTTCGACGCGCATATTCTCCCACGTCCATATATATGGTATTGTATTGGAATACGGTTGAGATCTACTCGTTCAAGGTAAAAGAAAATTGTAAATATTTCCAAGCTGAGCTCAAGCCATCTCGAGAAATGAGGAGTGATGAGGAGTGAGGAGGTGAATGCCTTGACATCCTAGGCACGGGCAAGTGGTTAGCCGCGGATTCCCACTCATGGAAGGTTCCAGACTTAGCAGATACGTCCTCTTGGGTACGACCAGTTGTTCACGTTGTTAGTAGTTCTATTTCTTTTTCTATTCTTACATAGTACCTATCCCCTGTACTATACTTGAAATTAATGTAGAGCTACTCTGTCAAATGAAATATCGTTTACGCACAACTTGAGATGACGATTCAACATGTTGACTTGCTAACCAACTTGGATGGTTTATCTTTAGCTATTGATCCACTGTACATGTGACATGGCATCGGAGAGTAATGACTGGCGCAAGTTTTAACGAAAACAAGATGTCCACACCCCATTAACCGTTACAAGGATGAAAACCAGCGGCAACTAGAGAGGCTCGTCACTAAGGGCTCCCCACTTTCGGGGGAACGCAAGTTCTGCCCGGGAGGGCTTTCTGCCCGCCCGGGCCCGCAGCCCGACCTCCCGGGGAGGGCCACCACGGTCCCGGGTTTGGGTTTAGGGGTCCGGTGAGCCCTTCGTGGCGAGGGTCGCCCTGCACCATATATTAACTTGTTTGGTTTTTTTCGGCTTCAGGAATATGAGCCGGCTTCGCAAGGAGTATGTAAGGATCGGCACGTTCGATACACTTCAATTCTTCTAGAAGTACATCCCGTGGAAGATCAAGGGAAAGAAGTGAAGAAACTTCTATATTATGGCACTTAATTGTAGTGATCGTGTTTAGTCACATAGTAGGCCTGCATAATCATATTCGTCTAAGTGGATAATTGACAACGAAAAGCTTTGTTGGCATGCCATTGTTGGACCGAGTAGTGCAGGGTTTAGTGATTTATCAACGTGAAACTCATGTCCCCTCCCGTGAAAATCCTGGTACTTGGATGATGTATGCTCCGTGTATCGTACATGGCATTTTCGAGACGATAGACGTATGAGGTTATGAGCAGCCATCGAGCGAAAAAACCATATTTCGAGTTTAATGATAAGTTATCATTAACTTAAACTAGGATCAGAGTTTTAATCCTGATAATTGTTTTATCTTGGTGAAGAAGAGAGGAGGCCCCAAACATGCTCCTCCATTTCTCCTCCCCTTTGTGAGGGGAGGAGGAAAACAATACATAGTACAAGTTCCCTGCAGGGAGGCCACGAGGGAGAGCCCTTAGTGAGAGAGCGGGGCGAGCTAAAGCGGGAGCCCCCTCCCTGGTCGAAGCGGGAGGTCGGGCTGCGGGCAGGGACCGCCTGGCATCGGGCCGGGCGGGCAGAAAGCCTCCCGGTAGGGTTGGAGGCACAACCTCAAAGGGCCCGAGGGCAGGGGCACGCCCATGGGCATGCCTGTTTTGGGTGCAAAGAAATTAATACGTATTTTCTAGAATTTTACTTCTAAACTGTTTTATTCTTGTAGATGTACATTTTCATATACGTTAAATGCCCGTATTGCAATACGGGCATGCCTGGGCATGGAGCATGCCTTTTGACCTTGAAATGAAGCATAGGCATGCCTCAAAATATTTTGCTGAGCCTCCAACCCTACCGGGCAGACCTCGCGTTCCCCCTAAAGTGGGGAGCCCTTAGTGACAAGGAACTAGAGAGGACCTCAACAGTAAAAAAAACATAAGAAAAACATGTCATGTAACTCCTAATATATACATATAAATCTTTTTTAAATAGTTCACACAACTGAAGTATTTCTTTTGACAAATTTCTCATTCTTACTTTTAGACAAGTCTATTGGACATTTTATGTGAAGAGCTCTCTTTTCTTTTTATGTTTACTATATAACCTTTGGTTATTTTAAGTAGTTGAAATTTCAAATTCAAAGCTTGTAACATTTAATAATTGGATTGCCCATTTTTTCTAAAATTTATATGTAGTTCTAGTATACATTTGTAACTTCCTCAAAATTTGAATCTTATGCTTACCTATGGTCACTCGCGGTAATCTTGAACCATGCATCGTATGATATGGAAATCACTACATACAAAACTATCACAATTTTCAAACTGTGAATTGAGTTACTTATTAGCTTCACAAAATTGTGAGTTGATTTCTTGATTTTATTTAGTCTTTTATTTTATTGAGACAAATATTTGTAGTTGAAGGTATAGTTTCTGGATTGATCTTCTACCTTTGACACTATTCATGTATACTTTTCAACTATTATTTAATGATCCATAGAGATAACAACATTGCTGGTAAAGTCCAGTTGTACTAGTTTGATGAATTCTGCAAAGTAGCACAAGGTCTTCTAACATTCTTTGAAAAAATAAGTTTGCTTAATGTATTGCTTAATGAATTGATCTTCTACCTTTGACACAATCAATATATATATATATTTATATTGTTCTCAAATATTATTTAATCATACGTAGAGATTACAACATTGCTGGTCAAGTTGTTCTAGTTTGATGAATTCTGCAAAGTAGCACAAGGTCTTCTAACATTCTTTGAAAAATAGATTTGTTGAATGTATCAGTTCGATTGAGTTTACTGTAAGTCTTAGCTAGCTTAAAATTTTTATCAAAAACTAAAACTCTTGATAAAGTGATATCTGATGATGTTAATATGTCTCATCTTGCTATCCATCATTTGAT